AACACTACTCGTCGTATGTTTGTATTTTTTTAAATTAATCAATTTTTCGGAAATAATAAAAATTACTCTCAAATATTTTATATGCAATTTTTAATGACACCGTTCATTTCAAATTTTTGTAGTTTTTTTTTTGTTTTTTTGGCGGGAATTTTATCTTTAACGAAAATATTAAGAATAAGACATACACACAGAAAAATAAATATATATTTATAATAGATAATATAGAAAAATTATTATTTATTTTTATAAAAATATTTAATAATTTATTAAATAACCTGCATAATAAAATATACATGTACTAGAAGTGCCCTGCCACGTGTTGCTGTTGCTCACAATCAAGTCCGATACACACGTCTTTAGGTCAACCAATTACCTTATACTGCCATCTGTTAAAATCTTATCGAACTAACAGAGATAATCATGACTCTTTGTTAATAAACAAATAATTCGCGATTAATAAAATAATATTGCGATTATAAATTGAGATATCAACTATTCTATCTTTCAAGTTGGATGAAACTGCACACAGTGTGCAAAATTTGATTAAAATCGGTTCAGTAGTTTAGGAGTCCATTGCGGACAAACAACGTGACACGTAATTTATATATATTAAGATAAGGAGATAAGATATATCAGATAAAAAAAATATATTTAATATAATTTTAATTTTTAATAATAAATTTCTTTGTATAGAAATTGTCAAGATATTTTCGTTACAATTAATTATCAATTATTCCAAATTTAGAATAGGAATGGATATGACTTCTGTGATACACTGTATATATCTATATATATATATATATCTGGAATAGATATTTCCTTTTGTATAAGCTATTCGTACGTAAAATTGGCATTGTACTCAACGAAGGGTAGACTGAAAGAGACAGGGAGAGAAAGAAAGAGAGAGAGAGAGAGAGAGAGAGAGAGAAGAAAAGAATGCATCGAGCGTTCGATTCAATCCAATTTATTGTGATGTGATTGAAGCAAATTCGATTGAAAGTTTCGATTTGAATCTTCGAGATTAAGGACGACGACGACGAGAGGTGTAACGTTCCATGACTCTGCAGACACACAAATAATATTTTTTAAATATTTAAAAAATATTTAATATAAAATCATATTAATTTTTATATTAAATTTTTATTTTTAATATTTTATTTTATTTTGTATTAGAAATATAATTAAATAATATATAAAAATATAAACACACAAACACACATACTTTTTAAAATATCTTTTAATATTTTTCAATAAAAAATTTATATATCACTTTCATAATACACCTGCATTTTTGGTCAATTTATTTTGTCTGGTTTGTTCATAAAAATAAAAATTACCATGTAAAAGAAGGGTAATTGAATACCACAATATATTTTACCTCGACGTGATTTATAATTCACCCTACATATATATATATATATACTACCGTAATACTATTGTATCGTTTGGATTGGATTAGAAGATTGTCCACGCCAAAGAATAATTTTCATTCATGGTTGCAGCTGAATGATAGTTTTGCCTGGCTCGTTACGTTTCGTTTACCACGCTCTTCCGTAAGTCAATAAGCCACATGACCCTATTGATCCTAAATGTCCCTTCTCTAATTTCTTTTTTTTCATCCTCCTTCTCCTCTTTCATCTTTTAATTCTTCATCTTTATCGTCATCTTTATCTCCATCGTCATCTTCATCCTCATCTTCATATCTCTTTCCTTCTGTAATTTTGTTCTCCTCTTTCTTCATCTTCATCTTCATCTTCATTTTTATCTTCTTAATTCATCTTCATGTTAATCTTCTTAATTCTTGATTTCTTATTTACCCCCCCCCCCTCCGTCCCCCTCTCCTAAATAAATTCCTGAACATCTTTTCCCTTGTTACTTTGAAAATGGCTACGTTGTCAAAGACAAGATGCCTCCAAAAAGGGTGCTGGTGGATAGAATGATGCTAGGGCAGGTTACCACCTTCAACGAACCAGCCAGCCAAACACCAACAACCACAGAACAGGTGCAAAAGGTTCCATCGACCCTCGACCTCGTAAAAGACCCTGCTTGCTTGCTTCTCGTGTTAGTAAAACGGCAGCAGCTGCTGACGTCGTGCGTCCAGTACTTGTACACACATACATATATACATAAACGTATGTGTATGTTTTATATGGTGAAGGGGGGAAGGAATGACATAGAGAGTGTTGGTGTGAGAAGGTAGATATGTGTATGAAACTAAACGATTCATTTTCTTAATGTTTCTATGATTTTCTTTTATTTTTTGGGGGGTTTCTTTTTTCAACATTTTTGGCCCCTAATATTTTTTTAAAAATTATTTTTCTTGATTTTTATTATTATTATTATTCTTATTATTATTATTATTCTCTCATTTTCATTCTTTTAAATTGCATTTAATTCTTATATATATATATATATATATATATATATATATATATGTGTGTGTGTGTGTGTGTGTGTGTGTGTATGTGTTATATAATACTTATGCATATTCATCTCGCAAAAAGCTCTTGACGAAATTCAGAATATTATTCCACAAAATGACGGGATTTTAATTGGGCCAAATTAGAAATAAATCTACCAATCTTAATAATGACGTTAAAGATAATTAGATTTTGTATTGATTAAAATACGATCAAATAAGAGTCTAATTTTTAGGTTAACTTAAAGAGAAAAATATATATATAATATAAACTTTTATATATAATTATTATTAATAATAATTAAATAAATCATTTTTATATAAAAAAACAACCTTTTAAAATAATCAAAACAACATTTAAAATATGCTTAGGGTAGCTAACGTTTCGGTAGAAACATGGTAGCCATCTTTTATTTAGTTGATTTCAAATTTTCAAACAATATTTATATAAATTGCAGATAACTTCTTACAGAATTTAATTCAATTAATCATAAATTTGAACCAAAAAAAAAATATTCAATAACGTATTTGTGGTTCTGTACAAAAAAAAAAACAAAAAAAGAGGAAAAAAATTTATTGAAAAAAAATGACACAGAGAGATGATAATTTTGATTCGAGGAGCTTTTGTGAGATAATATTTGAAAGATATTATTAAAAGATAGAACAAAAGGAATGTGGGAGGGGTAGAAGGAGAAAGAAAATGAGATAGACTTAAAAGAAATATTATCTAGGTTACTTTTCTCACGGTTAAATGAAGAAAGTCAGCAAATGGGAAAAGGAAAGAGGTTAAGTAACGTCTTCTCGATTTCGAGCGGAAGTATCGATCGTTCGGTCAACGTACAGGAAGGAAGTCGAAGCTCACCGAGAAGCTCGACCCGATATTATCATCGTTTGCCATGAAGTGCAACGTCTAATATGCATATGTATATATATATATATATATTTTATATGCATATGTACAACTAGTGTTCTATTAAAAACTACAAACGTATTTTTATAATTACTTAAGTGGAGTAATGTTCCTTATGAATCGATATGATAATATTGAAGATCGATTTTATCGATTGAGACAATCATTATTGCGATCACTAGCATTTGAATACGCTATCTGGTGGCTAAATTCAAAATTAGAATAGATAGGTCGAATTGCTACGCCATGTGGTATATTTAGCACTTGAATACGCTATCTGGTGGCTAAATTCAAAATTAGAATAGATAGGTCGAATTGCTATGCCACGCCCCTGCCAGATATCCCAATATATTATTTATTCTTAGTTATTATAGAAACAATAGTGATATAATGTTAATAAAAATTACAAAGTAAAAATAAATTTGTTGGTAATTTGTTGAAACCATAATCATAAAATTGTAATTAAAATCTATTAATTTAATAAATAGTGAATTAAAATATATAATTTATAATAACAGTTTAATTACAACTTATTAATCTAACTAAAATAATAAAATTGTATCTGTGAATAGGTTATGTTAATATATTATATTAAATAATATATTATAATAAACCTATTAATGAGTTATTAATAAGTAATGTATTTAGTTGTTTACAGATTATAAAAATTATATTACAGTATATTTACTATAATATATTAATATTAGATGACAAAGACTTACGATTACATCTGTGAATAGGTTATGTTAATATATTATATTAAATACATTATAATTCAAAGAATTATAAGATTTAGTTAGTAGATCATGAAAAGAAATAGATGATAATTTTGGTAGGATATAAATATTACTTAAAACTAAAATGAATTCCTTATAATAATAATAATGATAATACTAACATAGAATACTACAAAAAGAGTGTATTTTTGTAGGAAGTATATAACTCAAGCAGGTGACCATGGAGAGTTAAAGAAAGGTTAACACTCTCTCGAGTGAAGTCTTACAAAAATACTACTTCTATACGGATTCACCAGTATGTCCTACTTAAATGTTAGACGCTTTTGCGATTCCTTTAACATTGAGTGTTGACCCACTATCATTGTGAAGAAGGACGCTCATCACATCTTTTTTGTCAACCTAGACTAGTAGTAGTAGTAGTAGTAGTAGTAGTAGTAGTGCACTTTGTCTGTCTTCATTATTATTGTTTTTTCTTCTCATAACACATTATAACATATATATATATTGCTATACTTTTTCAACATCTTCCTTTTTTCGACATCACAAACTCAATACACGTGTTTATTTATATTACGCGATATTTTGGGTTTTGTTTTGACATTTAAATCGATCGGATAACAAAAATAAAAAAAAAAATACTACCAACGAGACCTTTTACTGAATTTCTCAAAGGGAATTATAGTTGTTACGTTAAAAAGAAGAAGCCCCATTTATTCGACGAATTACGTTTCAATCGTAATTAATAGAAAAGCTTTGATTTATTTGTTGGATCTTCTTTTTTCTTTTTTGCAACCCACACAATTGTTGTTACGTTTTATTTCAAAATTTGTTTTCACGTTATTTCACGTATTACATTTATATAAGATTTATATAAATGTTGATATATAACATATATGTATGCATTCTTTAATAAATGATTTTTCTTATGTTCTAGGGTCCCCCATTGACGTGGTTTAACTCTTGGCACGTTATTAAACATTCCAAGTAAGGTCAGTAAGTATAATAAAACTATGTCATTAATTATTTCATTATCATAAATTATCGTTTTACTTAAAACTTTATTTCATTTAATAAACTTGAGATAAATTAGAAAATCTTCAAGTATAAAATACACATATAAATATGCATGCATACATACATACATTAATATAATAAAAAAAAAAAAAACACGAAATATTTCAATCATTCAAACGTACATACATGTATTGTTATATAATAATATTAACATTAACAATAACAAAATAAAAAACATTTTCAGTGAGATTTAATTCAAATTGGAATTTAAATTTTGAATATGAAAAACAAAAACAAAAAAGATAAGATACATCTAATTTTTAGTTTAATAAATGAAAAGTTTAGTATAACGTTGATACGTACGTAGGAGTAGTATATATATATATATATATATATATGTATGTGTGTATATGTGTATATATGTTGGTGTTATGTGACTCTTGAATCCCGTGAGAAAAGATCGCGTCTCTTTAGTTGGTAACCTTTGCACTCAGTCGAGACACAACTACTCCGAGACCTTTCACAACAAAACGTCTCGTCCATGCGAAGGTCAAATTCCGTGCGAATCTTATCCGTTCTCGTTTTACCTAAAGTATACACATTTGCAATACCATTTCGTATTGTTGAATAAATTTTTATTTTTATTTTTTTTATTTTTTGTATGTATAATTCTCTAATGAATTGAATATGAAAAGTGAAGAGAGAGAGAGAACAATATTTTATTGTTTTTTTATTTTATTTGAATTATTTAGAATATATATATATATATATATATATCACAATTTTTTCAACCCTACGTTTCTTATTTTTTTTTAAATATTATTTCTTCCCATTTTTTCCCCTTATTATTATTTTTTCCAAACTCGTATCTGTTGTATGTCGTCTACTACCTGTCTGTTTCACGATCAAGATTCGTCATATTTTTTTTTTTTTTTTTTAAGAGAGTACAATGGCAAAATAGTAGGAAAGTAATAACGAGAGTGCAGATGGTGAAAAAAAAAAAAAAGAATAAGCAACCATCAACCAAAGCATCAGCATCGAAAAGCTTTCTTCGAAATACGAAAATACTGAGAAAGTTTAGATAAATAGATAGATAGTTAGAGAAACAAGATAAAAGATGATGATGATGATGATGATGATTATTATTTTTATTATTATTAATTGAATTTTACATTAGGAACTCGAAAGTTCATTGTCGCAAATACCAAATCCAGCCAGTGTTCTCGTCTCTGTGCTTGATCCTGTCCATTCGTGGTTCTCGTAGCCCATTTCTTGAAGATCCCGAAATACTATTGTCCTCCCATCTACGTCTCGATCTACCCAGTGGTCTTTTCCCGTTGGTATACCGATCAGCATTTTATGCACCATTCGATCCACCCCCATGCATGCCACGTCACCTGCCCATCTTAATCGACGTGATTTTACGACGTTAATGATGTCCGGTTTTGTTGTACAGTCGGTGTACTTCCATGTTATGGGGTTTTCTCCATTCGTTCGTTTCCTCATCGCGTTTTACACCGAACATTTAACGAACAACTTTATTTTCGAAAAGCCTCCATTTCTTTTCGTCCCGTAACGTAAGTGGACCACGTTTCAGTTACCATAAAGGACTACCGGTAGGATGATTGTCCTGTATATCCTGATTTTCAAGCACCTAGATAGTGTAACCGTGAGATGAGTAATTTATTGACATTTGTCTAAATTGATTCTTTTCTTAAGTTGTTCGTCGTCATGGCAACCGTATACCGGAAACAGGCATGCTTCTTCGGGAGCCCCGTCACCGTATACAGTGATGCTATTCTTGTTGAAGTTATAGTATTTTTAGTTGGAAAAACTTATCACATTTTTTACTTCGAAACAAAATTATTTTCGGTAAATAAAAGATAGTTTTATATTTTACTAGGGGTGTCCTGCCACGTGTTGCTGTGGCTCACAATCAGTCCAATACACACGTCTTTAAGTTAAAATAATATTGCGATTATAAATTGAGATTATAAACTATTCTATCTTTCAAGTTGGATGAAACTGCACACAGTGTATAAAATTTGATTAAAATCGGTTCAGTAGTTTAGGAGTCCATTGCGGACAAACAACGTGACACGTAATTTATATATATTAAGATAAGAAAATAAGTAGATAAGATTATTTTCGATAAATAAAATATAATATTTAATATAATACAACCATAATACTCGGGTTGCATTGTTGATATTTCTACTTATCGCTTTTTTACGTTACGGCACGCCGACAGTCGAATTTTGGGCCTTGCGAGAAACTCAACCGAAACGGGCTGGACGACGAACGTGTTAAGTCGTTCATTTATTTCGTTCGTATGATTTATGATCGATTCTAAATACCTTAAGTTGCTGACCTGTTCAACAATTTTCTAAAATTTTATTTAATATATATATATATATATATGTATGTATGAATATAATTTTAATGATTGATAAACGATAGAAAGACTTTGAAGGTTGAGGTTGTAAAGGAACGAATCTATCAAGTATATTGATTTTGCGCATGAAGGAAGGTTCGTTCGTTAAAAATAGGTAATGGGTAAGGAAATGGAGGATCAAGATAGGACGGGTTATTTATATTTGAATTTTCAAAAGATAGATCTTACCACTTTTAGAAACGATTTATTTATTTTATCGGTATGCTAGAATTTTTCTGATTTTTTTTCATTTTTTTTTTTTTTTTATACATATATATATATGCATATATGTTATGTATGTATGCGCGATCACGTATATGAGTATGGAATATCAAAAAGATATTTATTTGTTTGACGAGTAAATAAAAAAAAAAAAAAAGAACCGACTACTAACATAGATGATAGAAATTTTCACGAACGTTTAGAAAGAAAAACCAATATTATTTCCTGTAAGTTTTCTAAAACGGAGAACATACTTTCGAGCATGCGCCAAGGGTACACACAACGTCGATAAAAGTCTTCTTGATGTATCAAAGGGAAAAAAATTATCCTTATTATCTTTTTATATTTATATTTAATATAAAAGAAATAAAAAAAAAAAATAAAAAAAATAAAAAAAAAAACCAAAGGACAATAATTCGTCAACAAAATAATCTAAGATTTGTGTTATGATAAAGACGAATTTTATATATATATATATATATATATATATATCACAATTTTTTCAACCCTACGTTTCTTATTTTTTTTTAAATATTATTTCTTCCCATTTTTTCCCCT